CCCTCGGCCAATGGCTGCGGGGAGGGGCGGAGATGTGGGCGGGGACGGCGGGGAGGCTGAGCAAGAGAGGGAGGGAGGAGAGCAGGTGGAGAGGGAGGGACCGGACAAAGAGGGATGCGGGGGAAAGACAGATGAGCAAGAGACAGGTGAGGAGGAAGATTTAAGGCAAGACGGCTCTTTATTTTTCCTTTCTGTCTCTTCATTATCAGCCAAGCGTTTTCTATTGCACTACACAAGACACGGTGATGTATGGCAGCACCCTCACAAGCTGAAAGTACGTGCATTTTGTTTTAAAGGATTGGAAGTGAGTTCATCACAACTGACGAATGAGCTTGAAAGTGGGAAAAAACAAAAAGGAGAATGTGGCGTGATGGCAATTAGGAAACTAAAATCATTTTCTGGTTTTTGTGTATTGTTTTGTCCAGCTCCTGTCCATTCTCCACAGTTCCATATTTCAAGACAATTTGCAATACTGGAAGTGGAACTCCGGCTCCCCCAGAATAGGAACTGTGCAGAAAGAGACTTTTTCCACAATTAAGGCAAACAAATAAAAGATATATACGGGATACTAAAACCTAGTGAAGCAAACAATTTCCACTCAAGCGTCCCCCCCAATGTTTCTTCCTAAAAATCAGGCATTTTGCTCCACTCGAGAAAGGGAGAGGGAGGGAGGGAGCCGCAGAATCGTGAGGGAAGGAACGAGGGGATGCAAAGATGAAAGAAAGTGGTTGTGATTAGCAGCTTTGGAGGGGGTGCTGATAATAAAACATTTCCTGAAACCAATCTCTGCTTTGATGTCAATGCGTGCGTGCCTGCGTGTGTGCGTGTGAATGTGAGTGCGCGGTGTGAGATAACTTCATTTCGGAAACTGAAATATGGATTCAAATGTTTCCCACATGAGCATGGTTTGCAAAGTAAATTGTTGTTCTTTGTGTCGTTTTAAAGTGATGAGAACCTCAAGACAACAGCATCGTTTAAGGGGCAATATTGTGGTGGTCTAAGAGGAAAACCCCACTGTGCATATTGTTCGCCTAAAAGTACAACTGCCAACGTCTTACTGTCACGATTTCAATAGACATGACCAATGTGTTCTTTATTTATTTATTTTTTTATGTCTGTGTATATTCTCTATCATTCAGGTCAAGGTAATTAAAAGGGTGAGTCAAAACAACTGCATTTTTCTTGTTTTCGAACAATGGTGTTGTTAGCTTAAGGACACAGAGAGTGAACACACCGGTGTCGATGTTAAGATACACGTCTTCAGGTGCACAACCACAACAAACAACAGTAGATTGCTAAAGTTTGTCCAAAAAGAATCTGACCAATTGGTAGGGGGTTGGGATGTATTTTTAAAACTACAATCGGGTGGTAATGGAAATAGATGGATGGCTCTATTGGTGTGCACATTATGAAGCGTCTTTTACTTAAGTGATGTCATCATTTTACGATTTTGGATTGGAATTTTGTCAAAAAGAAACAGCTTACTAACCCTTACTTACTTACTCTGCCCTACAAAAGTGCTCCTAATTTTTCAGAATGTAAGAGAAGCTCCTGTGTACAGCCAGCCTCAGGGCACACTGCACATTATGAACTGATTTTAGATCTGGGCTCTGGCTGAGCCATTCCACAACTTCACTAACTTTCAGATGTATTTCTTTTGAATTGACTCACCAAACTTTGAGCCGGTCAACATGCATGTGGACGGATCTGATGATAATCTCCACCTGACTTAACGATGGTGACCGACTGCATCTGCAACATGTGGAGTCAAAAAATCAAACTTTTCAGCTGCAATTTTGACAATCTCTTACAATGAGCTGCACGCTCCAGAAACAAACACTCATTCAGATGCACTGCCTGCCGCGCGCATGTGGTGCATGCAGTCAGAACCAAGCGCGCGTGCACACACACACACACACTTGCTCTGAGATTCATGTACACACATACGCACGCACACACACACACACACACACACACACACACACACTTGCTTTGAGATTCATGTACAGACACACATACGCACGCACACGCTATCTATCTATCATCCACATGTACACACATACGCACGCACACACACACACACACACACACACACACACACACACACACACACACACACACACACACACACACACACACACACACAGAGTTATGATGTATCCAGAGACTTATAAGCATCGACAAAGATGAGTGTGAATCAATGCTGCCGTCACTACTGGGCAAACAAATGCTTTACCAAAAACCTCTGTCTGTTAAACACACACACAGTCAGACTTACAAATGTTTTGCTGAAACCAAACCAAAGAAAAAGTCCAATCTATCTCAAAGGAAATTATTTCACTTACTCAGGTTTGCATCATAGCCTGAAATAATTGGTTTTGTCAGTGTGAATCTAAAATTGGAAATAATAAATAAGAAACTCGAGCTCCAGCAAAAACGACATTTTGCCAATGTGCACAGAATTGCACTAAGACAAACATTTTTAGTCTGCCAATGCCACTTCCTCAAAGTAGACAAGTTATGTGCCATAACCAAATTTACAATTTTCCAACCCTTCACCAATTGAAAAATATTGATATATTCTTTTAAATCCAACATCAAACAACCTGGACTCATTGTGTCTTTCTCCCCTGGCTGCTCTATCCCCTCAGTGACCCGCATCTTCACCTCTCCCTCCCCCCACCCCAGCTATTGATTGTCCCTCAGTCAACGTGCATGTTGACAGTGACCCCTTTAGGCCACTTCTATCTCTCCCTGGACAAAATAGCATGTCTCTTAAGGACACGCCTACCACTTTATATATATATATATATATATAGAGACACACACACACACACACACACACACGCACACACACACAATACAGTATATACACATATACATATACAAACACATACACACACATTTTGGTACACGCCTAGAAATAAATATATGCTGTGTTTGCGTCCATGTGTGCTCGGGCTCTGTGTGATTTTTGCTAAATTATCTAAGAAATCCATACCAATAGAAGCTCTACTTGAAATGTAGCATTCCATCAAAATTCTGAATCGTATGGAAGAATAGTCAGTTGAATTGTTGTGTCTGCTATAAATTATTAAGTCTACTTAAAAGAATAATAATAAATAAAAAAAATCTCTCATTCTCTCAGTTTTCTGCTGTTGCATATGTGTGTCTGTGTGTGTGTGTGTGTGTGTGTGTGTGTGTGTGTGTGTGTGTGGGCGCGCGCGTGCACTGTGCAGAAGAATTATCCATCGCGAGTCATAGTGTCATCAATCACACCACTCAATAGGCCACAGAAAGTTCACAGGGGTGCCAGCAGGTCAGAATAGTATTGTAGAAATTCAAGGAGCTGCTCACTTAAGTACCTGACCACAAGCCACACATTGATAAATGGCTGGCACTCATACAAACAACATTTCAGCTTCATGCAGGCTCATTTTACAATATAACACAAAATTAAAGCAAAGAGGGAAGGGATTGAAGGATTAGGCAAAGGAGAGTGGCACTGTAATCCACTACTGGCCAACAGAGGGAGCTATGGATTATGGCCACTTAACAGCAACTCCTGCAAATCCTGAATAGTGAGAGGTATGACTGTACATTCAATTACTATGTAGCGATGGCGATATTACAACATTATTACACAATATATTACACATGAGTAAATTAAGGAAATAGTCAAAAGAGTCTCCAGCTTTGTTTTCAATGTGGGTGACACTGCACGTCACACATCCTCAAGTGGTGTTACGCACGCTTCTAGTTAGGAGCATAACATAACAGAGACTCTCGGTCCCCAAGGGTGGTATACATTAATCAATTTACCAGATTTAATAAAAATAAGTCAAAGGTAAAAAGGTATTTACAAGAAAAAAATCATTTACAATGTACTAAAATAACACGTCACAGAAATGAGCCAAAAGCAAAAGGGAGCAAAAGCTGACACACAAACCAAGAATCTATCGTAAAATTGAGTCATACCAAAAAAATGAACTACTAACTAAAGTGGCCCAAAAATTAAGGGAGCACGAATTGTGAAACAAGAGTCACTGGTTGGAGGCCGAGAGCAAACCAGCAACTGCTGTCAGATGCATGTTGGCGATGTCATCTGACGGAGCCGGTTTGGTCTCGGCCAATTGAATGCCAGTTTTTTGAACTACAGCTTCCGCCTCCTCAAACAATGACCATGTTTTCTATACATTTTATTCTTGGAATTATTATCATGGTGACGATTATTATTATTATTATTATTATTATGTAATATTTAAGTTTTAATAGGTTTAAAACAGTGCTTCTCAAACTTTCTATTTTTACCACCTAGAAAGACTTACTCTCCAAGTATCACCATGATGACCAAAATACAGAAGCGTAGTAGGCGCAAATGTTCATCAAAAGACAAAAAGCACAAATCAGGATGTATTGTATTATATTGCAAAAAAGTGGGTTTTAGTCCTGAAAAGTACATGAAAAGGGGAAGTCAACTCAACAAAATTCCTGATATGTTCTGTGTGGCCCTACTAGTCTAAACATGGCATTCTGATTAATACTGCGTTTGTGGAAGATGAACTAAGCATCAAAATCCAACAATGACCAATCACGGCTCACCTGTTTTCTGAGTTTGGTCATGTGGTGTTCACAACTGAGCCGTGATTGGTTGCTATCTGAGAAAGTGTGATGTCATCATCAGTCCACAGCAATTGGCAAAATGGCCACCCCCTGAGATGGATCAAAACGGGTGCATTTTGCTGCTTAATTCGTATTTCGCAAATGCAATATGAACCAGAATGCCGTGTTTATGCCAGTGTTACCTTCGTAAATGTTTGAAAACAAACGAAAGTTGAAGCCATTATCACATCATGCACAAATTAAACATGTAATTCAGTGATTCTTTTGCGTAGCGCTTTTGCCAATCACTGCTTTAAAGCATGTGGGTCTATTAAATGCCTCACTATAGTCACCTAAAACTGGTGGACCAGGAAGGTATTCCACACAGTGAATGGGGT